TGATGTTCGACCTCATTTTCATGTTTGTGGTGATGATGATGATGTTCGACCTCATTTTCATGTTTGTGGTGATGATGATGATGTTCGACCTCATTTTCATGTTTGTGGTGATGATGATGATGTTCGACCTCATTTTCATGTTTGTGGTGATGATGATGATGTTCGACCTCATTTTCATGTTTGTGGTGATGATGATGATGTTCGACCTCATTTTCATGTTTGTGGTGATGATGATGATGTTCGACCTCATTTTCATGTTTGTGGTGATGATGTTCGAACTCACTTTCATGTTTGTGGTGATGATGTTCGACCTCACTTTCATGTTTGTGGTGATGATGCTCGAACTCACCTTCATGTTTGTGGTGATGATGTTCGAACTCAATTTCATGTTTGTGGTGGTGTTTATGATGATGAGGGTATTCAGTTCCTACGGGGTGGTGTTTATGATAATGATATTCGACTTCCTTTTTTCCTTTTACATAATTGCGGTGTTTATGATGATGAAATTCTCCGGGATATTGAGGATATGAGTGATGTATATGATAGTATTCTTCATCTTTGGGGCAAGGATACTTCTTATGTATGTTATAATAATCAGCCTCTCGTTTAGAAGGATATTCTTTGAATATACTGTAATATTCTTCAGGAGTCTCAGCACAAGATGCAGGATATTTTTTGTGTTTTTCAAAGTAATCATTATCCTCGGGTGTGGGATATCGTTTGTATGTTCTATAGAAATCATAATCCCGGGATATAGGTTTCTTATTGAATTTATAAAAGTAAAAATCTTCGGGAGAAAGATATTTTTTGTTCTTTTTATAATAGTTATTTTCTTCGTCACAAGGATATCTTTTGTACTGCTCATGGAATTTTTGTTCATGGTCATAAGGATACCTTTTGTGCTTGAGATGGAAATCACACTCTTCAGGTAAAGGATACTTTTTATGCAAATTATAATAATCCTGGTCTTCGGGATAAGGATATCTGTTGTATTTGTCACAATATTTTTGCTCTTCTTCAGAAGGATACTTCTTGTATTTGAAATAGTAACGTTCTTTGTGATCAGGATACTTATTGTATATTTTAAAGTATTTAATATCATCGTCATCAGGATATCTTTTATACTTTATATGGAATTCAATCTCTAAGGTACCGGGATACCTATTGGCTTTGTAATAGAAACGATCCTCATCGTAAGTAGGTTGCCTTTTGTGCTTGTTAAAGTAATCCTCTGCGGGAGAACAATATTTTTTGTGTTGTTCAAAGTATTTTTCAGCATCTGGATCAGGATATCTGTGGAACCTATTAAAGTAATCGTCTTTGGGAGAACAGGTAGTTGTATGATATGTATGATGTTCAATAGTACGATGTCCAGTAGTAGCTGCTTTAGTACCAGTAACTTTACCAGTAGTAGCTGCTTTAGTACCAGTGGCAGTTCCTTTTCCTTTAGTACCAGTAGTAGCTGCTTTAGTACCAGTAACTTTACCAGTAGTAGCTGCTTTAGTACCAGTGGCAGTTCCTTTTCCTTT